ATTTGACAGTTGTTTTGAGGCTCCCATGTTGCCAGTCTTCAGAGAAGATGCAAAGGGCAGAACAACTTTCAATTGGCCACCTTAAATACCCTTTCTCATGATTGGCTTCACCTGTGTATGTAGGTCAAGGGTCAATGAGCTTACCAAACAAATTTTGTGTTCCAATAATTAGTGCTAAAGGTATTCAAATCAATAAAACAACAAGGGTGCCCAAATTTATGCACCTGCCTACTTTTAAGTAGGTTTAAGTAATTATTGCACACTTTCTGTAAATCCTATAAACTTCATTTCACTTCTTAAATATCACTGTGTTTGTTTACTATATGATATATTTAATTGAAATTGCTGTTCCGAACAACCAATGATCCATAAAGGAAAATCTTGAAAATGATCAGGGGTGCCCAAACTTTTATATACCACTGTATTTCAGGGTCTACAAAATAAACTAGTCTACGCTAAGTTGACAATGCACACATCGCTACGCTATACACTGAAAATACATAATGTTATCCATATCTCTCAGTAGCCTACCAGCTACAACTGGTATCTGTCCTCTTGAAAATCTGTTAATTTTGCACATTTGGCTGCATCTTCTTCCAACGCCTTTCTTTTTCGTAACCTCTCCTTATCGGCTCCACCTATACTCTTTCTGCCCTCCATCGCCACCGACTAACATTTCGCGCAGTTCTGTGCCAATATTATCAATATATCAAATTGAATGAATGAAAATCACCTATATATAGATGTATTTAAACAGTGAACACAGTTTTGTTGTGACAGATAATAATTTTGAGGGTTAAGAGTAATATAAAGCAATAAGTATTTTCCAAATATTAAACGTAACTTTGGTTTTCTTTTGGTTTCTAAATTGTTTTTGGATCGTCATGGAATGACTCCCATATTAGTAAATACTGTATTTGATCCCTTAACAGTTAAAGTGCAGTAAATACACTTTTGTTTACACTGACTTTTAACTCGGGATTCAATGTGCACTCGATACCTAGTTTGTTCTCTAGTGGTTCTGTCTTAAAGGTGACAGATTAAAGGTGGAAGAATTGGAACAATTGAGCAGAGGTAGGAAATTCACGTGTGTTCTGATTACACTGTCTTTGATGATAAACCAGATATTGATGTAGTTGATTTGAACAAGAAGGTCTTTATTAAGAGTATTCTCCCCAGATGTTTAAATTAAGTTGAAATTAAAGTTGCAGTGATATCTAACCAGATATTTATCTAATCTTAGCTAATCTATCTAAAATATTATTTAAAAAGAAAACAATTAAAAAAAAAGTCCATCACCTGATTAACAGCCAAACAGAATGGTTTGATGATTTGTCATGTGATCATATATGCGTGTTTTCATAAATAACCTCATCTGTCTGATTTTTTTAACTCTTTTTATTGGTTTTTTAATCAGAAAAAAAACAAGAATATAAACATACACACAGAACAGATACATCAGACAGGGTCATCTATGGCAGAAACACAATGGCAGGTTGTCTTCAAAATTAAGAGCTGACAAAATCAAGTGATGAGCAAAACCTCAGTGTCACATGCAGATAAATCAAACTTAAAATAAACAGACAAAAGTCATCCAATGGCAAGGTCACCTCCCATCTATGTACAGTGGTAAACTTTTTCATACCACTGTAGGTCATCCATCCTATACAGTATTGTTCACCTTTTCCAGTGTTATATCTCAAGGAAAATGTTAGCCTTTCCATGTTGTAGATTTCTTCACCTATTTGTATCCAGTGGCGCTTTGGCCCAGAGGCAATGTCTCTGTCATTGGTGTGGAACCCCAGGGTTCACCTCCTGGGTGATCGAATCCCGATTAGGGCGGTTGGTACCTTCCAGTGGACTCACCACCCGCAGGAAGGTTCACGAGTAGCCGGTACAGTGCAGTGTGATTTGGAGACTGCTGCCCCTGAGACCCAGTAAGCGGATGGAAATTGATGGATGGATTTGTATCCAACCTGATATTGTCAGAGTTCATTACTCAACTATTTCCTAGTTATTGCCTTTTTGCTACTTGCCAAAAATTATTGCAATAGATATCTGTCTTGTTTATTTATTTTAGTTGGTTGGTTTCCCAAATATACAACACCGAAAGTGAGATCATGTTGCAAATTGATCATTGAATTAATTGCTGCTATGTCTTCCCAATAAAATGAAATTATAGGATATTCCCAGAATAATTGAAAGTGACCAGCTGACATATTCCCACACCCTCCCCAACACCGTCCTAGAGCTGGGTTATTGGCCTGTAAGCTTCTGGTTTTGGGAGTTATAAAAATTCTTAAGTAAGTATTTTTCCAGGTAAATTCCCTCCACAGATCTGGGCTAGATGTAGTGGATAATGTCTTTCAAATATTTAACTAGTCATCTTCTGGTAACTGTATTTTAGCTTCTTTTTCCCACTTTGATTTTATATATAGTACATTGTGGAGAGACCTCTGTCCTTTTGTAAAGCTGAGTAAATCCTGGAGATCAGTTTTATGCTGGTATTTTCTTTATAAGTAATTGGCATATAGCTCTATCAAATTATTTCCATCTTCTCCAATAGTTTTTATTAGACAGTGCTCCTCCCGGGGATTCCATCGTCCTGTTGGGGGACTTCACCGCCCACGTGGGCAGCGACAGTGACACCTGGAGGGTCGTGATTGGGAAGAACGGCCTCCCCGATCTAAATCCGAGTGGTGTTTTGTTATTGGACTTCTGTGCTAGTCAAAGTTTGTCCATAACAAACACCATGTTCAAACATAAGGGTGTCCATCAGGGCACCAGGACACCCTAGGCCGGAGGTCAATGATCGACTTTGTAGTTGTGTCATCTGACATCCGGCCGTATGTATTGGACACTCGGGTGAAGAGAGGGGCTGAGCTTTCAACTGATCACCACCTGGTGGTGATTTGGCTCCGCTTACGGGGGGCAAAGCTGGATAGACCTGGCAGACCCAAACGTATCGTGAGGGTCTGTTGGGAACGTCTGGCGGAATCCCCGGTGAGGGGGGCCTTCAACTCCCACCTCCGGGAGAGCTTTGAACAGAGGACAAGAGGGCATTCTCAGCCTTGGGTGAATTAAAACTGATGCCATTGATACAACATGACAGACTGGACTTTGGTGAGAATTATCATGAGAATGCTTGCCATTTTTTGAAATAACTGCACTTCCCTATGTTTGTTTTATTAATTTGTCATCATGGCAAGTCTAGTAACAACTAAAAAAAAATTTACTGGGTGAGATTGAGCATGTTGAGCTTTCTTTTAAAATCATCCTGTGAGCACTTATTGAACTGTGTTGATGTTCGGCTTTGGCTGAAGTATGTGCACCCAAATGACAGTTTCCAGTGAATGAGGAAGAGAGCAACAGACATAAACTGTGAGATTGTGACTTAAGAACAAACAAGTCTAGGACAAAACAGCACCTACTTTGACGACAAAGCCCTTTGGACTGCGGTTTCAGTAGTGACTTACGTTGATAATCAGTAAAAAGCTGTCGACAGTCAGGACTTTCCTCATATCACATGCAGAAACGAGTCACCCGACCACAAATATTTTCAGTAGGTTTATTTAAAGTGCACCACTCCTCTGTACCCAGACAACCACACGTGGACAGCAATTTAAACTAGTTTTGTTCTAGACATGATAATTATTGTGTACGTTTGGGACTCTTTTATGCATATAACTTTTTAATTGAGGAAAACAATTAGTGCCGCTCTTTCGGGGACCTTAAAACATGTTCCACATGCCATCATTAAGATGCACTGTAATTAGGTTAAATCCTCAGTCTGTATGAAAAAAATAGAGTAGAATGTTACTGTTATTTATATGAATCAAAATACACCTGTACATAATGTTCTGGACATTTTTCCACTTTATTAATTCAAATAAAAGTTGCAAATAGGAGGTGCAATTTATATATGTATATACACAAATCTGCAAAGTACTAAGGGAGCAAAAGGAGAACCGCGATATATAGAGAAGGAACACTGCGTAGGTATATATACACATATGTACGTACAGACACACATTCATATACAGTCTGTATATATAGTGTGTGTGTGTAGTAAATTCTTACAGTCGTGCTGTTTGAAATTCCAAACAAATGGTTAAGGAAACGTTTTTTTAAAAAAAAATTAATTTATTTTTATTCTCATTTAAAAAATTATGTATGAATGTTTGCTGGCTTAAAAGGTGTCGTTTAAACTTTAAACTAGAGTTCTGAGTGTCCTTAGACTTTAGAGATCCACCAGTTGGTGGCGAGTTGACTGTTTTCGCCACCATAGAAAAGCAGTCAACTCAGCCAGTTGACTCTGACTCTTCTGGTCTTTGGTGGATACCGGTGGACGCTGTGTCCTCTTTTGACAGAAGGTTGTTTTTGCGGAGATGACAGGCGTGCTGATAGGGGGGATGGATTGGCGACTGGGTGGGGGGAACATACTGGTACTCTTTACAAGAATCCAGCTATGAAAAATAAATATAAGATCACCAATACATTAGAGATAGTTTTGTGGGAAGAAAAAAAAAAACGGTAGTGTTTTGTAAATCAGTCATTTCCTTCAGGATTTGCATGCAGGGTATGATGCATTCAAATCCACAAGTATCTGTGTCCTAAGGACAAACTTTGCTGCCCAGAATTTATAAAACAATGAATCGTCTCTCTGTTGTAGGATATAACTATCAAAACACCTTTGTAATTCATATTACTCAAAGGGAATGAAAAACAAAAAGGGCATCCATACCTGCAAAGGGTAGGTCCTGTCTGAGTCGAAGGAGCTGAGGTCACCACAAGTCAGGAAGGGGACAATAACACGGTTTGGACCCTCCAACTGGTTGAAGTCCACATCTAATGATAGAAGAAAATCAAGACAAAATAGACAAAAGGAAAGATGATACAGGTGTGACAAGAACGTCTCTAAGTAAAAAAAAAAGTTTGACTTTTGTTTTTTTATTATTTGGTCTGCTTCAACTGGTTGACATGATTGATTTCTGCATCAATTTTTAGCGTAACGTGCTTAAAGTAAAGAAATATTGTGTGTTAATTTACATATAAATCTGCACTTCATTACAACTTCTCTCAACTTCTCTCAACAACCAAGGACACACTGCATTTTTTTAGATTCTCTGATCGTGCTTAAACATCCGTTTTCTTTTACTTAAAAGTCCTTGGAATCGATAAACATCTACGTTGTGAATCATTTCCTTCCACGCTACATTAGGTCAAACTCTTCACATGACTTTGACTCACACAACATTTTTACCCTATCAGATCACGAGTGGTTATTTATGTCCTGTTGTAAAAAAACCCCACCAGACTGGTTCCAAAAAATAAAAAAGGTCACATGCTGAAACACATTTACACACCCTGTTCAACCACTGTAGCAACTGCTACATATATGTATACATATATACGTACATATATCTATATAAATACATATACATATATAAACATATATGGTTACACATATATACGTACATATATGTACATATATATGGTTACATTTATATATTT